TGTGCACACGGAAATGTATAAACACCTAATGTTTGTATCATGCTTTACACTTCAAAAGACGTTTTCTCACGCCCAGCAAACAGTAAGCTCTCCAATATTTGCTGGATGAGTGTTCCAGCACTCATTCTCGTAATCTCACCATAACAATCTCACTCCTCATATTCACACCAAATGGCAACAAACAGGGTTATCGCCATTTTAGAGAAGAGGAAACTGAGGCTTAACAAAACAGTCACACAACCAGTAGGTGGCGAATTGGAGCTCTAGTCTCCTCTTACAAATTCAAGGCCAGTGCTTTTATTCTCTAAAAAATAAATACCCTCCGGCCCAGTATATTCACTTCTGTCCTTCACCTGCGGGAGGTCAGAGAAATCAAGCTTTTGCACACAAAATCCAAGTAGGACCAGAGTTACACTGGTGCACCAGACGCCTGCTGGGTCCCGCGCAGAGGCTGACCTGCTGGAATCGCTGGGGCAGGGATTCACTCCTCAAGGCTGCCGAGTCAGTTGGTATGCTGGAGGTGACATTCCTAGGACACTGGCTGTTGCGTGGAGGAAGGACAGTGCTACTGCCCCACAACGTCCAGGGCTATAGGTCCCGACCTCTCCGTCCCGAGTGCCCAGGCTCTAGATACCCCTCCAAAGTCTTGATCACAACTCCAAATCTCAGCTCCTTAGAGCGCGAGGGTTTTGTAGCCTCAGTTCTGACAGCTACAAATTTCCTGGAAAGAAAACGAAGCTCAAAGAAAGGAAATATGTCTCCAGGATCATCCAGCCAGTGGTGCCAGGACTGGGGCGGCAGTCCTTGCTCTGGGGCGGGTTCCTCACACCCTTAGGTCCACTTTGGGCCATGTGGCTGCGGAAAGTATGAGCTTCCCTTCAAGGGCAGGTCAGGCGAGAGACAGAGTGGGGTGACCGTGAAGGCTCCTAGAAGGACCCCCAAAATCATTAACTTGGGAGACCTTCCACACGTCAGAGGTCAGTGAGTAAAAGGAGAACTCATGGAATCGAGATATGCCCGTCGATTTGCCTTCATCCTAATCCTGCACATTGTCATAGCCCTGCCGGTGACCTGAGGTTCTCTTCAGGCTAGGAACAGCTGTCCGCGGAGCCTTAGGAAGGCCTGGCCTAGATTCAGGCTAGGGAGTGCGTGGGTACCCCTGGGACTAGGGGCGAAGAGGAGTGAGAATGAATATAGCCGCTCCTAAAGTTCCACATCTTTTTCTGGCAGATTTTTACTCCCTTCCATAGAGCCAATTAAACGCAATGAAACCCCTCTTCCTGGAAAAGCGTCGCCAACAATTGCCTAAGGAGTAAACGAAATACGCCTGAGATAATTACACTAAGCCTGGGGCAGCGATTTGCCTGCCAGCGTCCTCAGCTCCAGCCAATATTTAGATAGTGTAGTAGTTGTTAAAAAAAAAAAAATTACACGCGGAAACTTAAGCCCGACTGGTTGGTGCCGAGTTGGTTACACGATCTGTTTTTCTCGAACAAGGGTCTGTAGGCAGCTGGAGCGCGCACGTTCTGGCCTCCACTGGTGCTGCTGCGCGCCTGCAAAACTTGCCGGAATTAAATCAACCTCAGGGGAAGGAGGCGGGAGAGAAGGAGAGCTCACCCCCGCGGCGGCCCAAGCTCCGCGGCAGGGATGCCCCAGGATTCACCGCGGCGGTAGCAGCGGGCCCGTGTCCAAAATGATGGTGCCCTGGGATTCCAGGTCCACTCCCTTGCCTGCTCTGTGTACCTTGCCTGCTCTTGTACCCTTGCCTAGTACATCCTGATGCGGAAGCGTGAGACTTGGGGCTCTTTGCAGGGCTGTAGCGGCTCTATTTTGGCCCAAGTTGGACCGAACCGACCAGAGGAACACTGCTCGCTTAAGCAGAAGGCTCTGGCCCAGCGATTTGCGTCCCTAGGCCTCAACCTGAGGTGTGGCAACGGTCCGCCGCCAGTACGAGCTACCTAGTGAGTACCTGACTCACAGCTTTAGGGTTCAGGGTTCCTGTTACGCCCATAAGTATTGCCTCGCGCGCCCTTGAAGGGCCCTTCCCTTTCCTCATTCCTCCGATATTCTGCGCCCACTCGCCTAAGGGGAACGTCCCCTGAGCTGCTCCAAAAAGGAGGCGTTGTAGTGCCAGGATGTCCTCGAGAAACGTCTACAAAAGATCCCTTTGCATGAGCTGCATATAAGGTCGGACCCAGATTCATTACACGCATTGTGCGTGGGCTCCAGGAAGCGTCCTTATAGAGGTCGGGAGACCCCAGCCTCCTGGGTAGGACAGAACTTTTCTTGCAGCGCCAGAGTCAAGGAAGTAGGGGCGACCCGGCTCCAGCGGGCTCTAACTGTAGGCATCTTTGGAATTCCTCTGTGGCTTGAGAGGACTGGAAAACGTCCCTTGCTCGGTTCCTTAAACAGCCTCATTGAATCAAAAATCCTGCACAAACTTCTTAGCGGGAGGAACGTTGCTGGGTGAAGTGAAGCGAATGAGTCTCCTTTCTTAGGCTAGGCCAAGAGGCTGCTTTTTCCTCCTGGACCCTCTTGCACGCTTCACCTTAACACTATTCTAAGATGTCTGCTGACCTAAAACAAATTGGCCAAACACTATTAGCCAGAAACGTACCTCCCTGGCTAAGGATAGAAATCAGGAGTCCGCCCTCTTCACTGCACACCTGTTTCCGCTAAGCAACCCGACCAACAAACACACTCCCTTCGTGCAGCTTACCGAAAGCCAAAAAGTGAAAATCCCGGACCTGGTGTCACCAAAATCGAGGGTTGGCGCCACAAACCTCTAGGCTGAAGGCCTTCTGCCTTAGGTTTTAGGCAGAGAAAATAAGAAATTAAAAACCATCCAGTGAGCCCTCGTTTCTAACTGCTCTTTTCTCCTCAAATCACGGAACTGAAAAAGAACCTGAAATTTTCCAACTTCGGACATCTCATTTCACAAATAATGAAAGTGAAGCCCAGAGATAAAACAGAGTATATTTGTTTCTAAACTCTAATTTCCCGCATGGCTTAAGGGTAATAGTACCCGAAACCAGAATATAATTTCAGGTCCTTCCTGCAGGCAGCTGTTATTTGCTGCTGAGAGAATGAAATGCAGAGCAGGGAAACTGTAAGCACTGGGATCCCAGCGTTTTGGGTTTTGTACCTTTCTCTCATGGTTCAGACCTGAGCCCTGTGGATTGCTAATTTTGGCTTCCTATTTAATTTAATTATCTCCCTTTCCGTTCTAAGTATAATGCAAAGTCTTCCTTCTGCCCACTGAAGTGATGGGACCCTTAAGCTCTCAACTCCTTTCTATCCCCAGTTCATACACCTTGAGAAACCTCACCCTGTCGGATCCACCCGTTCCAAGGAAGTGTTGGCGAAGCCTCCATTCTCCAGAGCTATCCTAATTTCCTGGTTATTGTCGGTATTGCCCTCTAGACCGCGGTCCTGGAGAGCAGAGAACTGTCTGGTGTCTCCCTGTACTTGGCGCAGATTACATAACGCACAAAAAAAAAGAGAGTGATGAACCTGGCATTTGTCGGAAATGCCCCCAAATCACTCCTCCCAGTTAACTTTTCCCTCCAACCCTCTGGACAGCGAGGTTTCTCTCAGAAAAGAGACCTTAAGGACGCATGCTCCGAACTTGACCTAGAGTGGCTAGCAACAGAGAAGCTCAAAGCCGATAGAGGAAAGGGTAAAGGGGAGAAGGCATGCAGAAGAGGAGCGAGAAAGCAGTGTCCAGTTCCCCCCTACTCCAGCCCCCACCCGTGCTACTCGTGGTAGCCCTGGTTTGGCGCCACAGCAGGGACTGCACCGGCCCTGTACCCCTCCCAGAGGACAATCTGCGCTACCCGCCCCACTGGGCTGGGGCTGGAGCTGCCGAGCCCGTGCTGAACGCAAGGGTGGGGGCTTCCGAATGAAGGTACAGGAGGGGGCGGGGGCGAGGCTCTGCGCCTTCTCGCCCCTTCTTCAGCTAGAGACTCGGCGGCGGCAGCGGCGGAGTCCCTCAGCCTCGGTCATGTGATAGTCTCTAAGCGCGAGCTGCGGGGGTCTCGGCGTCTCAGGGACCATTACAAAACGCAGCCAGGAGAGCGTGTCGCCGCCACAGCCGCCGCCTCTTCTTCTCAAGACCCGCCCGGTAGAGCAACGGCAGCTGCAGCGAGGACCGCTGAGCTGGCCTGGGCCAGTCAGGCACTCGCCTGTCCTTCGCAGGCGCCCCCTCCAGCCTGCGGTTCTCGCCTAGCGTCCTGCACCCGGGCTCCTCTGCAGAGCTTGAAGGCGCCGCTGCTGCAGAAACCACCAAACTTTTTACCCGCAGCGACCGCCTAGGGATCGGTGTTTCTTCCATCCTCAGCTCCGCTGCGAATCTCCAGAGAAACAGGGAGGGCCACGGGCTTCCAGAAGAGGTGCTTCTCTCTCCTTACTTTATCTCTCTCCTCCAGGAAAAAACGAGAACTCCTGCGTGGACCAAGCAGTGGGCTAAGGGGCAGCGCCCAGGGCGCTGGAAATCACGCCACCTCTGGCTTCCAGGTCATCTAATGCAAACTCGGGTTTAAAGAGCTAGAGTCCCCACTATCCAGTCCTTCCTTCCAGGCAATTTGCCGTAGGCTTCCGTGGGCCGAGAAAAGGCAAAGAAGAGGCCACAAAGAAAAACGGCCCCTCGCCACTCGCTCCTCCGCCTTCATTCTCTGGCCACCCAAGGGAATACGCAGAGAAGGCAACGGTAAAGCTGGCGCACCCCTCCCGCGACTGTGTGCGCCTGTCGGCGACCGTCCGGACCAGAAGTTGCGGGCGTCCTAGAGCGGAGTTGGCTCGAAAGACCAAGCGCGGAGACTCCCGGCTACTCCAAGAAGACGGGGAAGAGAAGCAGATCGGGCCTGAGGGGCTAGAGGGAGGGGCAGCTGGGCTGGACCAGGGGAGTGGGAGTTAGTGAGGGCATCCAGACCCCGGGAGTGGTGTGCCGAGCCGCACTGCGGCCCACTGTGGGCCGGAGGGTAGTGGAGGAGCTGGGGGCGATGCCGCGGCCGGGAAAGAGTTCGTACAGTGACCAAAAGCCGCCCTATTCGTACATCTCGCTGACCGCCATGGCCATTCAGCACTCGGCGGAGAAGATGCTGCCGCTGAGCGACATTTACAAGTTCATCATGGAGCGCTTCCCCTACTACCGCGAGCACACTCAGCGCTGGCAGAACAGCCTGCGCCACAACCTCTCCTTCAACGACTGTTTCATCAAGATCCCGAGGCGGCCAGACCAGCCGGGTAAGGGTAGCTTCTGGGCGCTGCACCCCGACTGCGGCGACATGTTTGAGAACGGCAGCTTCCTGCGGCGCCGCAAGCGCTTCAAGGTGCTGCGCGCGGACCACGCTCACCTGCATGCTGGAAGCACCAAGGGCGCGCCAGGAGCGGGACCCGCAGGTCACCTGCATCCCCACCACCCCCACCACCCGCACCACCACCATCACCATCATCACGCTGCCACACACCACCACCATCACCACCACCCGCCCCCGCCCCCGCCCCCGCCGCACATGGTGCACTATTTCCACCAGCAGCCGCCTCCTGCTCCGCAGCCTCCACCGCACCTCCCGTCTCAGGCCCCGCAACAGCCGCCCCAGCAGTCGCAGCCTCAACAGCCGTCTCACCCCGGCAAGATGCAGGAGGCGGCTGCGGTGGCGGCGGCGGCGGCGGCGGCGGCGGCAGCCGCGGTGGGCAGCGTGGGGCGCCTGTCTCAATTCCCACCCTACGGGCTGGGTTCGGCCGCGGCCGCCGCCGCAGCTGCAGCCGCGTCCACCACCGGCTTCAAGCACCCGTTCGCCATCGAGAACATCATCGGCCGGGACTACAAGGGCGTGCTACAGGCTGGCGGGCTGCCCTTAGCATCTGTCATGCACCACCTGGGCTACCCAGTGCCAGGTCAGCTCAGCAACGTCGTGAGCTCGGTGTGGCCTCACGTTGGCGTCATGGATTCGGTGGCCGCTGCCGCCGCCGCCGCCGCAGCCGGGGTCCCGGTAGGCCCAGAGTACGGGGCATTCGGGGTGCCAGTCAAGGCCCTGTGCCACTCAGCAAGCCAGAGCCTGCCGGCTGTTCCGGTGCCCATCAAGCCTACACCTGCGCTACCACCCGTGACCGCGCTGCCGCCGGCGCTCACTGTCCCGGCGGCTTCACAGCAGCCGCCAACGCCAACTGCGGTGTGCTCTGCCTCCACAGCCTCGCCCGCAGCCTCTTTGCTGGAGCCCACCGCTCCAAGCGCGGCGGAGAGCAAGAGCGGCTCCCTGCACTCGGTTCTGGTGCACTCCTAAGTGACCCGGCGGGGTAGGGAAAACAAACACGAGAAGAGACGCCCGGCGCGGGACTGCACCAACCGCCCCAGAGGGAGAGGGCGCCCTCAGAAGGCCGGGCAGAGCTGGCGAGTCCGAGGCTTTGCGTTAAAGGAAGGTATTTAAACCAGCGAACAAAATCCGAAAAGTGGATTGTCCAGTGGTCTGAATAAACATAACTCTCCTGGTGTCTGTGTTTATACTATGTTGTACAATCAGATTAATGAAAGTCAATTTTTTCAGGTAAGAGTTTCTATTGTAATTATTATAATCAATAAGTTATGGGGGGAGGGAGCAAAGGAGGTTGGGGAGCCTCATTCACTGGCAAATTGACAATGGATTTCGACCCTTGTTTCTGGGAGCAGAAACTGACTGAACTGAACCTTGCGGAGAAACCTAACAGAGAGTGATGCTGAAACGAATTTCAGCCGCCAAGTTTCTCTCATCCCTTGGCAGTCGCCTCTCGTGAATATTCAAGACAAAACTCCATCCACTAAGGAAATCTCCTTTCAGTTGAGAAGGAAAAGGGGGTACTTTTGATACCGTTATTTTCTAGGCCAGCTAAATGAGCGAAAACACAGCGTCAAGAATAAAATCACTTTGAGCGGGGAGGAGACAGTAGGAGCGCACAGGAAAGGTCTTTGGGAAACAGTTGAGTTTCTTGGCCCTGACCCGGGGGTCGAGAAAGATGGGAGGAATCGCTAAAGCAATTAGTTTGCATACAAAAAGAAAAAAAGTGGCAGCGGCTTAAAGAGCAAAACCCCAGATTCCAAAAGTAAAGTTTGGGAAACAACACAACCAAAGAGAGACAATATAAGCGACTTTCCACCTGCAGTTCCTTTGTATGTCAATCAGATGGGAGATCTTGAGGAGCCCAAGAATACAGTGAATTCCCACGATCTATTCTATCTGGAATTTAAAGAAAAAAAAACCATTTATATCACAGAGATTTTGTTCTCTTGACTCATTAATGCGAGAAAAACTTTTGCATCATCCAACAGTGTTGCTTTTTAATACTTGCAAGAGCGTTGGTGGCTGTTCCCTGCCAGCCTTCTTGGATAGAAGCTACCAGTCTGACCCCAGTCACTTTTGCACGCTGCAGCAGTTTAGTGTTATTCCCTTTGCTGTTTGGGCGCTTGTGTCTTTCAGGCAAATTCTGCAGTTTCAGTTTGTGAATGGAAAAGAAACTTGCCTTGTCTCTGTGGCCCTACCCCCTCTTTTGAGTCCCAGGAATAGCACTTTACTTGCAACAAACTTAGGAACGAAGTGGGGAGGAGTGGGGAGGAATCAGCTTTGCTCTTTGGCTCTAATCGCCTCTGGCTTGTGTCCGCGCCGCTCTGGGGTTGTGACTGCACTTGGTTCCTGTCTGCTGGTGTTGTACGCGGTGTTCTCCATTAAAGCTTCTCTCTGGACATTCCGACGCGAGTGTGAAGATGTTTGTCTTCTCAAGAGGCGAGACCACCTTAGTCTGAGTGCCCACTCCCCTTTATTAAAAATCTCCTTTCCCTTTATGTCATAAACTTCAGAACTTCAAAGGAGTGAGTTCACAGGCGAGCCACCTGTGGGGACAAATTTCCTCCATTGCTCCTAGAGCTCCCTTCAACTGTTGGCTCAATTATCTTCCCTACCTGTTTTCATAACGCTAGTTTTCTAATTGAGTTTCATTAAATACATACACCTCAATGCTAGAGGCTGAATTAGCCAGAACTCGTAATTAATTCTCCTTTCTTTATCACCACCACCCGCCTCCTTTTCGTGAGATCCTCAAGGGCAGACCAAGGCTGGTGACTCGGTGCCAGCGTGGTGGGTGCCCAACGGCACCCCTTTAAGTTTGCGGGGTTGTAGTGGGGCCCGCGAGACTGAGGTAGGGACGCTGCCACCCGCACAGCTGCCGACATTAACGAGGTACGCAGGATCCTCCATGGCGTCCTGAAAGACCTGTTGAGCCCTGGTGCCAGAACGCGCGCTCAGCAAGCTAGGCATCCGTGGTGACCACCGCCTGGAACTCAGGGCCAGGGAGCTCTCAGCCCGTGAGAGCCGGCAGCCCCGCAGCAAGTGCTAGCTACCGGGAATCCTAGTGCGGCAGCCGCAAACTAGGCTAAGCAGGGAGTGGGCAAGCGGGCTCCGGCAGCGAGCGAGTGACCCCCTTGGGGCCCCAACAGGGCAGCTAGGTCTCCACCTCGACCCTTCCCAAAGCTGCACTTTGAACCAGCTTTTCTCTGCCCAGCCACTCCCAAGGAAGGTCTTCTCGGAACTTTCATCATAATAAAATAAAAAGCCCAAAAGGTGACCCTTGCATAGTGATATTGCTGGGGAGATTTGGGTTACACCTCAAAAACAGGTGTTTGCATGTATCCCTCATTTACAAATCTCATTACACCGTGCCAACTAAGTTTTGGCCTCTCATGGGAGACGTGTCACAGATCACTGACTCCTTGGGGACTCAAACAATTCAGGAGTATATCTTATTTTTCCTGCTTGAGATTCTGCAAGGCTCCCTGCAGAGTTTTTCTCTCCACTAGACTGAGACTGTTGAAATGGGGGAGGGGGGAGAGCCCAAGGAGATACTGACTTTGGGTTCATAGATTTGGGGAGGTTTGGGAGTCTGGCATCTCTATCATCTCTGAGTGAGCCGGTGCCTTAAGTCCTAGACCAGAGCCCTAGTGTAGGGACAGGAGACGCTCCATCTAAAGGAGTGACTGGATCCCAGGAGTTTCTTCAGGGATCCTCTTTTCCTTTCCCACCTGCCAGAATGATACTGTGTGCTTTTGAGCGGTGCCCAGGGTCTCACTTCCGGGAAAGGAGCGTAACCCAAGGTGAGGGTGGGTACCCAAGAAAGTTGGCCCAAGCCCCTGGCGAGAAGAGCCTGTGAACATTTACCTGGGAAAAGATTGAGTAGTGGGCCCTTGTGCTTTTTTACAGGACCCTCCTGGCATCCAATCCCTGCTGAGTAGCCCTCCCGACCTCAGAGCGGGGAACACGGTCGTTTTGTTTTTATGGTAAGGAGAAAAAGAAAGGAGACAGAAGGTAAAGGGAACTTAGAGGTGGTTCAAGTTTTCATTCAGGAGGGATCTCTGGTACCCAGAGGACGATATGCAGGACGTGGAGACAGAGAACAGGGAAACTCATGTAAATAAACTAAGAGGGAGGGCCCTTCCTGCTAAAGATCTGATCTCAAGGGAGGCCCTGATTAAATACCTCTACCTCCCTGAGATCTCTCTTAACTAAGATGGGGTCTGTTGGGCCATAAGTCTATTGTGAGGAGATTTGTCCCCACAAGCACCCCCTCCCCGTGAACCCAGAACCAGGAAGGAACATTCTGGACAGAGGAGGTGTCCAGATGGGGAGGGGATGCTGGTGGGGACAGACAGACATTACTCTGAAATACTAGGACTGGGAGAATTTTATGTCCTAGCTCACTGCTTCTCACCATGATGGTTTGTTTTGTTTTGTGTTTTTTGTTTGTTTTGTTTTGTTTTTTTAAACCCAAGTGCCAAAAATCAGTCACTCAAAGACCTTGGAACCAGGCTCCTGTGCTTCTTTTAAATGTGTTATTAGGAGGTCAAGCTATTAATAAAGTATTGCCCTGGCAATAAAGTTTATGGAAAACCCCTATACCTGGCATAAGAATAAGTTAACAGGGATAATTTGATAACACTCTCAACTGGGTGTATGGTCCCATCTAATCCCACAGGTATTTGCCCTCTAGCTGCAGGTCAGAATGGGAGTTCTGAACATAAGTAAGATGGAAGGAGAAGCAGGTATTAATTTATGACCATCTCAGTTCACAAGTATAATAAAAATCACTTTGGGTAGGCAAGGTGCTTGTGGAGATAATATGCAGTTATGCTTCTGATTGCCAGGATAATAGACAAGTTCATAGTTGTCTAGTGTGGTAGTATAATCCCAGCTGCTGGGAAGCTGAGGCAGGAGGATGGAAAGTTCCAGGCCAGTCTGGGCAACATAGTGAGGCCATGTCTCAAAAATAAAATCAATCAATCAATAAAAATGTAAAAGGCTAGGAGTGCAGCTCAGTGGTAGAGCATTTGCCTAGCATGTAGGAGGCCCCAGGATTCAATTCCCAGTGCGGATAGATAAATGATAGATAGATAGATAGATAGATAGATAGATAGATAGATAGATAGATAGATAGATAGATATTTTGGGAAGGCTATAGTTGCTTAGCTCATATCACACATTGAATGAACAGAACACCTAAGAAATACAGGATATGCAATAAGGAGGGAGGGAGCTCTTAGTGTAGGTGTCCTTAAAAGTAGAAGGAAACCCACTTGGAATGATCTATTTATTTCCCTGGGAAACTAAGAATAGAGCTAAGGGCTGAGGGAGGACAAACCTACATTATCTGTGGTGGCAAAAACAGGCCCTCCTGCAAGGGCCAGAATTGGCACAGTTGGCATCTGGCATTTAGGAAGCTTGTCAGCCGGGCTGGCTTGTGGTCAATTATCTCCTTAAGTAGACTGGCACCAGTCCAGCCAGGGAGGAGAACTAGTTACATTCATAGGAATCAGAGCCAGTTAGCTGGAAGTGGCACTGCTGAATTCCAAGCATCTTTGTGTTGGAGGGTTGGAAGGTTTGATCAACACATATCCTCCTGGGACTCAAAGGTGACATTTGCCTGCTTGGCACTAGTACAGAACTCAGAGTATGAAAATAGGATGAATTAGGAGAAGAAACATGGATCTTCAAAGGGATCTATTCCACTTAAGTTCCATTCACCTGACAAAATTGCCATTTCTGATACACACAAAATAACACAGAAATCCTTATAAATTGAACAGGGTCAAGATCCTTCACTGGATAAGTATCTGGTTTCTCACTGTACCTATGAAATGTCAAGACAGGATAATTTGGGGGGGGGGCATGTTCATGTTGAGTGATGTGATATTAGTGATTACAAGAGCATGTGTCTACAATTCTGTATGGGAGTCCTGGGGAAGGTTAGGGTTGGCACTGAACATGGGAAACCAAAGAAATAGTTACAAAAATCAGGGATAACCTTTTCTGGGCTTAAGGGCAGAGTGGGGATCCAAGTGCAGATGAAAAGTCCTTGGGTTGTGGAGGGTGAAATAGTTTCTTCAAGTCTGACATTGCCATGTTGTTCATTCAAAATATTTTCATTAACATTGTCTTTCCAAGTTCAAATGCTACTTCATACCTTTTGGAGGAGATTGAAGGGATCTTCTTGGGTTTTGAATTCAGTCTTAAACTATTGCTTAAGCAATATGAATTTGGCAAAACCCCAGGTATACTCCCTTTATTATATTAAAGGATATTCCCCTTTAATATCCCCTGTGTATTTTAAGAAAAATTGAAGCCACATGTTGCTCTTTTCTCCTTGCATCCAAGTGTGATTTTACTGAATTTTAGTATGGTCTATCAAATCCAAATTCTGAGTTTTAATCCATAATATACTCTTATGATCTACACACAGTCACATGATATGCACATATGTCCTTAAGCAGAAAATAAAGCATCTGAGAACTATAGTTTTACTATAGTAACACTTCTTTAGACTAAAGAGTCATGCTATGCCATGCCACGTTAAAAATGGTTTTATAAAATTATCAAAAAATTCTGAAAACCTAACTCATGAGAAGAGTTAAAGAATATTACTAAGAAGATATTTTTGGTTTTATTTAATTTTATCCAAACAGTTCTTGTCTGCCACAAGTAAAAGGTTTTGTGCACAGGGAACATCCCATCTTCACTCATAAGCCACAGACCTTATTACTGCAACATCATTTTTAACATACGTTAGAATATGTTTTCCCTTCTGAGCCACTGCCAGTCTTGTCAGCA